AGCTTTTCTTTTTCAAAGCAATAAAGAGCCATTCTTTCACGTTTTTGTCCCAAATATGTATAGGGATATTATCGCTTTTACTGCTAAGCACTATCAATATATGTACGAAATTTAAATACTAAAACACATAGCTCACCACTATCTCTGTTGTGGATTCACTTCTAATAGAGCGAACGTAATATTTTCTGTGTCAAAGGTAACACTTCTTAAAATGCCTTGTGAAATCTTCAGCTAATAATTTTGTTTCCCCCTCATGTTTAGGTGCTATTACTAGACAGAATGAGAGTTGTACGAAGAGCAGCTGGAGAACCAAATTTTAACATATTTTACAATTTACTGGCTGGTGCTGACCTGCCTCTCAGGTAAGGATGGAACTGGAAATAAAATTACGATCTTTCTTTCTATTATTAGCAGTGTCTGCAAGTTGCGAACAAAAAGCAAAAAAATTTTTTTGTTATTGCTAAAATGAATATAGTATTATTTGTTTTGAAACAATGAAATTAATAAAAGTAATCTCTTTCTATTCTAGGAATGAACTTCATTTTAATAATTTATCTGACAACAATCTTTTTTTGACTCCTTCCCTTTCCGTGAGTATTAAACACTTGTCACATCTCGTCATGATTTCTCACTTTGTACTATAGAGGGCGTCCTACTGGTCAACTATCTGTATTCAATGTATTGTTTGCATGGAGATGTTCATATTCATAACACCATGTTACACAGAAATTCCAGATTTGGCATAGTTCCAAAATAAAGTCAAAATGCTTTATCAGGTTACTTATTTATGTAGATATTAGTCGTTAATTATGCAAGTTTTATCTCTCCTCAGCCTGAATCCAAACAGCAGCATTTATCAGAATGGTCGCACGTTTTAAGCGCATGTAAACTATTAGGATTTCGTGATGACGAATGCAAAGCATTGTGGGCAGTGTTAGCTGCTATCATACATCTTGGAGCTGCTGGAGCTGTCAAAGGTAAGACCCTGACTGGGTTAATAAGGTTAAGGATGTATTATTCATTTATTTACATATTATACAATTATTCTGATTTCTTGACTGTAATTGCAAGATTAAAATTTCCTTGTCAGATTAATAAAGCTCAACTATTATTTCCTGATTATTATTTTATTATCAACTATATTAAGAAAGCTCATGCCAAATTTCAATTTTGGCATCTACTGCACATATACAACATGCATACATGACGCCCTCTCATGCCAATATAACATTAAAATAGTAAATGACACATATATTGTATTTAAGATTTGCAACAACAGTATGCACTGAGGTAATGACAATATATCATGAAACCACTGCAAAAACAGCAAGCTGGTATTGTGTTCTTAACTTTCGCTGCTTTTCCCATACTTTTGTTGTATTTTTACAATTGTAATGAAATGGATGCTTATTCAAAAATATGTACAGTAACTATTTTAACATCTGTAACTAATTAGGGCCTGCATACATGTCTATTGCAATGTTTTCCGTTATGCTTCTGTCTTTATGTCATATGACAAACAGATGTTGTAGTCAATGTTTACTCATATCAACATCTTTATTTCTGGAATCACTTCTTCAATTCTGTCACTATCACATCTCCCTCAGGCGGTGGCAGCACTAAAGCTCAGTTTGCGCAACCCTCTGAAGCTCAGAAAGCGTCGACTCTGCTAGGCACCACGGTTGAAGAACTTGCCCGGGCAATCTTTCATCCATCCAGTCTGACAAGTTCAGCTGTTCGAGCTTTTCGTTCTGGGTCACCTGGCGAGAAGACTACTGGGGAACATGCATTGAGTGCTGTGGAGGCACTACAAGGAATGGTAATGGGACTGTATATGGAGCTTGTTGGTGCTGTCGTTGGACTCATAAACAGGTTTGTATGATAATGTATTTTCGTAAATGCTTTTCTGGTTGTTCCCCTGTCTGTTCTTCAGCCTGTATATCTATCCATCCGTGCATTCAAACATTTTTTTTAAATTATTGCATATTTATTCATATTGCAGGGCTTTTTCAAGTAACTATCGAATTATGTCTTCTATACTGGTACTCGACATGCCAGGGTTTCAGAATCCGGCAGCCTTGGGAAGACAAGGAGGGGCCAGTTTCCAGGATTTATGCGATAACTATGCACAGGAAAGGCTACAACTTCTTTTTCACGACACCATGTTTACTTCGCAACAAGACAAATATGCTCAGGTAGGGAAACGTAGAAATTAAAAAAAATTGAATTACTAAGTTGTTCTGTGTATTCAATTTTTACCGAAATAACGGTAAGTTTTATCTGAGCATGTTCTAGTGTTTCTATTTCTGTAATTTTTTAATTGGGTGAAATTGTTTTCTTTCGAATGCTGAAATAATTTTGTAATAACATATAACTAAAACGTTTTTTCCTTAATGCTGAGGGAAAAAAAGGCAGAATTGAAAATTTTTTTGTATCTCTGCAGAATAATATTTTATTCAGTTCCAGTTGTACTAGTGCCTACCACATTATGCATCGCCCTCTAGTGGTGAAGCACAGCTTCATACTGCCTCATTTTCTAATTACAGGAGAATATAGATTGTGATTTTGAGACTGTTGCGTCATCACCTGCACCTATGGTGTGCATAATAGACAAAGTGCCTCAACAAGCAATAGTAAGTCTTAAAAAACCTAATTTACATATTAAGCACCACCATATTTGGGCATACAGCTCTCTTTACAATCTGTTTCACAGTTACAATTTATTCCAATTAAGTATGTTTCATGATGCGGTTTTGATATTGATTTGTCTTCCCTGTAATTTCGCAGGTCAGGCCCAATATAGACTCAAAGAATGTTGAAAAGAAAGGTCTGCTGTGGCTGCTAGATGAAGAGTCGATATTTCCTGGTGCCAATGATGAAAGCTTTATTGAAAGATTCTTCATACATTATGGAAGTGATACAGATAAACGTACGTATTTCAAAAAAAAACAATTTGAATATGTCTTGCGCCATTCAGTTTGTATCTTAACAGTAGTTGTTGCATTTGACCCTTGATCACACAGTTTCAAATTCTATCTGAGGTCAAACTTAGAAAATTAAAATAATAAAACACCAAAAAACAACATAGGAGAAAGGTGACATGTGCAGTGAGGAAATTTCATTTATTGGTGTTGGTGTCATCAGCAGCATTGACCTGCCAGATAGGTCCATTCTGTTGTTTTTACCTTGCTCATATCATCAAAGATGGACTGATCACTGGTGATACACATTCAAAGGTCACTGATCCCAGTAGGAATATGCATTGTTGTATGTTTTAATAATTTATAAAAATTGGTTTCAGGTGTCGTAATATGTTCTATGTTTGAGTTCTCATCAACTGCCTATTGGGTGTCTGACCTTAATATTTGGTTAATTGTTTAAATTCAACTGACTGTTCTATGATGATTAATAACCTAAATCAACCACTCAGTAATTCAAAATTGTGTATGAGGTCCACTATGGGGGAGATATTTGCTGGTGTGCAGTGTCTGTCAGTGTTGCTTAAAACCCCAATGCTTGGCCAATCAAAGAGAAATACTGTGGAATACTTTATTTTCGCTGGAATTAATTTTCGCTAAAAAGGCTTTTTGGGCATTTTGTATGGAATTTATTTTCACTGATTTTTCATGAGTTTATTGTAAAATATAGGAAAAAAAGTATATTCGCTGGATTTTATTTTCACGGAACCATCCCTTCAGTGAAAATAGCGAAAATAAATTCCAAGCAAAAATAAAGTATTCTACAGTACTGCATAAAACCAGATGCAACAGTCACTCTGTTTTGTTAAACAGGGCTGTCTGAGTTTGAGGTTGAGTCACCTAATAGTAAAATTATATTTCCGAAAACATGTACTGCAGTGACTTGCAACAAGATTTAGTCAACTTTCGTAAATATGTGTATAATGGTCAAGGTTACCATTGTTACACTATGTTTTTACTAAGCAACGACTCATCATGCTTATGATGTGATTTCAATGTCATAGTTAAAATATCGAGGTTTACCTAATTGCTTGTAAATATAAGTTCTAAGCTTATCGCTTATGTTCTCCCATTTCTACAGCTGATAGTCTTGTTCGAAGAAGTCCCAACAAAAACTGCTTCCGTCTGAATCATTTCCAAAATAGCATACCCATTGAATATGACACCACTGGTTGGCTGGGTCAGTCGCGAGAGAATCCAGTCAGCAGAGTGTCAGCTACTGTCTTACAAGACTCATCCAAGTATGTATCATTTTTTTTTTTTTTTTTACCAAACTCCTTTTCATATCAAGGTTATGGCCAGAAAAAAGAAAGTGCCTGTCAAAAAACTTTATTGAAATGAAAGATAGCTGTCCCTAATCTGTAAAGACAGACTTAAAATCAATTTTTGATTATTTAGGCCAGGAAAAAAAAATTCTCTGTTTCTCGTTTCATGGAAATTTTAAAACGAGGGGATATTTTTTTTTTTTTCAAATCCTGAGCTAAAGTGGGGGAAATTTGAGACAAGTGCGAGTACAAGCGCATTTTGGAATGCTTTAGAAGGAAAAAACGTTTGAGGTGCATAGTTCAAAATGATGCGCGCGGAAGCAAGAAACAGATATTTTTTTTCTCAGCCATATGTATGTATTATTTATTTATGTAATTTACAGGTAAATTTTAATCAAAATTAGACAGATTTGTAGAAATTTTGAAATAAAATTTTATATCTATATAAAATGTGGAGCCTCTGTCTAAAATGATAGACAGGCGACGGGCTGCGCAACTTTTCTTTAAATATTTCTGAATTGTGTTTTAAATGACGTCACTAAGCATTATATAATGTGATTAATTATTCATGAAGAGGTTTGGTTCAAATAAATAAAAAAAAATTAGAACCTTGTATTTATATCTGCAGTGGTGTTAATTTAGTAAAGGCTTTGGCAATAACCTTTTCTGTGATTTGCTACAAATCGCTCAAAACCACATCAAGATAACGAGGTAAAATTGCCATTATCGTCTGAGCACATAGTCCGCATTTTATGGTTACGTTAATTTTAGTAAGACCTCATTATCTTAACAAACACTATTAAATGTTATGTTGTACATTTAACATTTAATATTTTTGACTACATGCATTTAAAAGTTAATTTGGATCCAAAAAAAAAAACATTTTGCTGTTTATGGCGCACTTTAACAGTATGCAAAAAAAAAAAAAAAAGTGGGGAATGCAGGTTTTAATGTATATGATAAGGTGAAACAAAACCTCAAAACTTTTATTTTTAAGGTTTTATTAATATTATAGATAATTGTGAATTTATAAATAATTTTGAAATATTGCTTTTTTTTAAAAATACATATTTTCTTGTATTTTCAGGAGTAATATCAGTAGTCTATTTTTAAGTATGCGAGGTTCGTTGACCAGCATGATGACTGGATCTGTGGTCGGTATGGACGGCAGTTCCTCTCTTAGAAGAGCATCTAGTCTAAGAAGATCGTATATTAGCAGTGCCGCTGGTATGAAGCGAAAGTCCCTCAGTTTGCAGGTCAAATTTCAACTGGTAAGTGGCATGTCATAATAGTATAAATTTTGGGGTTGTCAATCTCAAATTTGGTAAATTAATTTACAGTATGAACTTCAACTATGATAGTGAAGTGCACATCAACTAAAAATAGCAATATTCACAAATTTGACTCTTTTGACAGGACGGTCTGATGGATCAACTGAGGAGAACACGGCTTCACTTCATAATGTGTTTCTTACCACAAGAGGATGCAGGTCTGTGCGACGTAAAATCAACGTCCAAAGGTGCCGATCTTCTCAGTGTCCCATTGCTGAGGTCACAGATAAGGGGAACCGAACTATTGGAAGCTGTGCGAATCTACAGACAAGGTATTATTTTCTATAACGTTTCCAACTTTGTTGTCTGGTGTAGTATACATGTACCATATGACTGCATGTGACACATATTAATGAATTTGTGTACGAGTTCTACGTGATATTAGGTGATTTGGTTGATTTTTTTCTTCATCTGCAAAATGTCTTGTTTGATGTTCGCGTACAATTTTTGAATGTTTGCAATGTCTGTTATTTGACCAATGACAATGGTACATTTAAATATCACGATGGAAAATACAAATGAAAAATAGACATTACCCCTCCTTCAGAGAATTTCGCTACTCATGGAACATTCATTCGATTATTATTATTAGAGGGCTTCAATCTGGATCCAACTGATGAATTAAATGAACTGTACCTGTAACATTATTTCTATTTGTATGGTAGGATATCCAGACAGTATGTTGTTTGGTGAATTCCGGCGACGATTTGAAATCCTGACTCCTGCTGAAATCAAGTCCAAGGGACCTGTCCTGGATGAGAAAAAGGTGGTGTTTAGTTGGCTTGTCAACCAATTTTCAGATTGTTAGCTGCTAACTGAGGGAAACAGAAAAAAGATAATTGGGATGAAGGCAAAAATTTAACTTTCTGATGCTTCTTATGGTGTAGAAAAGTTGACTGTATTTTAATCATGTAGTACAGATTACTTGTGCTATTGCCATTTTAATGTAAAAAATAGGTATGCATCTTAATATTTTGTGACAAACTTTGACTTTAATTGATTGATTAGTGTGTTTACTTAAGCTTGACCCTTCTTGTCATTTCATTAATCACAGGCAACAGAGGACCTTCTGGACAACCTTGATATCGACTCTGCGGGCTACAGAATGGGACTGAGTCAGGTAGGGTTACTATAATTGTATGTGATGACGTGAGAGAGAAAATGAATGTGAAAGGAATGAGTTGTGTACATAGTTGTTGGATGGTGATGTATACTAGGGAATGATTTATTGGTATGTTAATGAGTGTTGTAATGATATTTCTATGGACACGCCTTGTTGTTTGTTGTCGTCCTCAGCTATTATGCACATCGTTTCCTCTTTCTGATTAACATTACAGTTTGTTTTATTTGTTGCCCTCCAAAGTTACTCTTCATCTGTGTATGTATTTTCGGTTCTTTATCATCTGTTTGATGTTTGTCAAACTTTCCATGTACTGACTACCTGTTGATGCATTATACTCGTCCAAGCACTAGATTCATAAAAATAAAAATGCCAAAGCTTGGTTGTGATCAGTAAACAATCGCGTCTACTATATTGTTTGCTGTCTTGAATAAGTTGTATATATATGATATTATGTATCTCCAAATTGTGATCAATGTGAATTGCTCTTCAGTGTGTTTATGAACAGGACTGATTTGAGTCACAAACCAGAATGTTGTGTCCCCACAGTCTCTTTGATTTTTACACTTACTTTGTTTATCAGGGATTTTTTCAAACAAGGGAACAGGGGCGCGGAACATGCGCCCTCTTACCCTGGGGAGCAGATCCTTTGGCAACCATAAAATTCTGATTGACCTGGGATCACATGTGGCCACAGTCTTCAACTGTGAACTGTCTGATAGTAATTTTGGCCCCAAGGAAGCCATAGAATGCTCCATTTTAACTTAGAATTATCAAAAACTCCACACCCTGGTAGGGAAAACCCTATCTCGCCCCACTTGGTGGTGCCGCTGAATTGCAGTGCTCCCTCTTGCAGTTTTTTTCTAGAAAAAAACCTGTTTATGAATTTTGTTTCACCAAATTACAAACTATAGCTACGGTACATGTATAGTGAGATGTTTTTAAATATTTATCAATGTATGTTTTCCAGTTGCATCAATGAATTAACACAACTGGTAGTGTCACAGCAAATCACCTCAGCTGATGTGATACACCATTGACGCTCTTGTTTGTGATGATAAAGCCGACTCACTAGTGACAATTACTTGTGTTAGTTGTCATCCTGGTGAAATTATGTTGACGTACACAATCCACATATCTACTGTTTTTTTGTTGCGAACAAACTTAATAATTACCCAGAATCCTTTGCGAAATGGAAATTTGCATTGGAAGGCAAGTGCCATATCCTGGCATATTAATGCAGGTCTCATTTCAAAATTAAGACTGAGTATGTCTTTCCCACCACTGGACAATGCTTGACTAGACATAAAAATGAGTCAACCGTGAAATCAGCTGATGACTAACACATCTTGGAACATTGGTTCTTTCATGTCCTTTTCAACTGATTTTTTTCTGCATTCTTATGCATCTTCCTACCTTCTGGTAAGCTACGGAACTTAGTTTTGAAGGCATAGAATTAGCTTGTGAGAACTTTTTAATTGAATTCTACTTTCAATAAAGTAAACACAATATTCTATTATAAGCACAAATAAACCAAAAATTGCATTTATTATATCATTGATTGAAATAAAACAATTTCCTTGCATGCACAATGAGCATTTTGAATTTGCAATTTTCAAAGTTTTAATAAAATTTATGGGTTCTCGATTGATACGATCATGAACTTAGAATTTGCTTTTCTTTGAGTTGTCTTACAATGTTGGTTGAACTTAATTTAGGCTTAGTGAATATAATGCGAAAATGTTGTGTTAATTTCTACATGCACAGCGTAATCTATGTGTATAGTGCAGTGTGCACCAGGGTATTTCAACCCCTGTATATGCTTGGAATGATTGAAAAAAAAATGTATTATGACAATATGCAAACTTTTTGGTTAGACGATGTTGCGGATTAGCGAGGCAATTAGCTGAATGAATGGCTGACTTTGAGGTATTCAGAAATGTTGCGCCCACAGAAAAATATCGCCTACATTAATCAATATTTTAAGGAAGCCTTTTGTACAAAACATTTTATTGCTTACGTGTTTACTACTAATATTAATATAAAATAGTAACACTGTATTGAGTTGTTGTACAAAATATCACAACTTGTAATGCCTTAGAGAGCAACAGCATTCCTCCGTGAACCACAGTGTAGAATACATTGCTACATGTCTTAAACAATGGTTGTGAGCTGAAATGACTAATGTTTACTTATCCAGACTGTTACATCATTAGTTAATCAGTCTTCCTGCATGAGTTGTCATTTGTTCTCAAATTATCATAACAATGAGGGGGCTTTGTCACCTAATCAAATTACTTCTATTGTCACCTCTTGGGAACAGTAGGTGATATGAATATTCATTGCTCATTAACAGTACCATTGACAAAAGGAGTGCATGGGCAACTTTGTTCACCTCAGTATCCTCTGCAAACTCAAGGTTAATAACACCACTGTTTTATTGCTGTTCAGTATTTGTGGCAGGCTGTTTGCTACAAGTTGGTATCAGTGTTATCAGCGTTATTTCCTGATATGCTGAGTTCGTCCACCTACCTGGATCTATATTTTCTGTCTATTTCACTGGTCATGATTTAACTTCTTAAAGGAGAGAGAGGATTTCCTGATGTGTACCTTTTGATCAGAATAACTAGGATTACCCAAGCTGTTACATACACTGGTGTACTCCTAATACAAACAATGCCAGTCTCCTACTAACTATATTCTTGTGTACATTTGGCTTTGTTCGATCATCATGGATAAACTTGCACCAATTAATTACATCCCTGAAAACAAGAAGAAAATTGTTGTGCTGAATGTGATTCTGAACAACAATAACAACAGTAAGGTCAGTATCGTGAAGTTTTCTCAGTCAACTAGGCGATCGTTTGTATTCGTCATCCTGGATAGCCCCACTGCTACTTTACTCAAAAACATGTACGTGCAATATCGAGTGTGATTGGGGGGGTCAGACTTTTTAGGATGGATGTATAGTCAACTCGATCACGACTCAGTTTTTACAAATCGAAATCAGGAGGAATGTGTCGTATCTTGATTTGATTAGAATCTAAAATGAATTACACATGTATGACACATGTATCGTTGCATTTCCATGTCGGCCCGAGAGGTTTTGAAACTAATCGGCAAATCAAGGCGTTGCAACAACATGGAATAGAAATCAATTTACCAATTTGGTCAGATCATATGCAGTATAGAGTGTCTGGTACTACCTGTTGGCATCCAGCTTGAAGAAAAGAAAAATAAATTAAGTGGAAATATTATCCAAAAGTGTATATTTACCTCAGAGTAAAGCTAAATACACTGGTTGTGGTGAATCAGGTTTCCCCTTCCATGCTGTTACACACCTCTGAATAACATATACTTTGCACACTTTTCTTGAATATTTGCATTGTTCTGACCAGGAATGTATGCCATGGGGGTTGTTTGCTATTTCTATCGCTGTGTCTACTCGTCTATATCAATGTTTAGGTTGTTGATGTCTTAGATAGCAAAGTGTGTTTTGCATTCTTCCCCCCCCCCCTTCACAGGGTAGTGTATGTTCCATGTACATGTATAAGTTATTTTGAAGAGAATGAAAGCATGTTTGAAATTTCTTTTACTAACTTCATTCCTTCTATTTAGGAAATAATGCTATTTTTCTGTTGTTGGCATATTTCTTGACGTGTTTTCTTAAAATCAGTATGCATACTATCGCATGTTATACCTATTCGTAATTCCATTATGACACTAACCGGCAAAAACATAATGTTGATATGTCTCCAGCGAGATGGAATTTGTCTACCGAGGTCATTGACCCCTTTTGTCTGTTGTCTTCTAATGCTTTTAAGAGCGCAGGCATAATAGCTCTGGGAAGCTAGTTATGTAATAAAGATGGATGTAATTGCACCTTATGGGTCTGTCTCACACTGCTATGATATGTTTGGTAATAATAGGCCGGTAAATAATTCAGAATGGTTTTTAAAGTCAAAAGCAATTTGTTTCGTTTGCCTGTCAAGTATTATATACACCATTCATTGTAACTTTTCCGTTCAAGCGTTTCTGTCTCACAGGCAGCCATCTTAAAGTGGTTGGTGTCCAATACCACCCTGCTTTCAATTAAACATACCACATTTACTTTATTAGAAGTGCATATTAATAATTATCCAAACATTGTGTGTTGTTATAACAGAATCATGAAAATGTGACTTATTTTCCCCCTCAGAAACACACACCTGTAATATACATGAGTACATGCACTTTTAATAGAGCAAACATGGTACATGACTGACTTTGATAGTAACTATGGTAACCATACATGGTAAATGACACCGTAGTTTAATATGGTCGTTCATAGTCATAAACCTTACCAAGCAAAATAAACAAAAGCTTCTGGGCAATTCATTTCTCCAAAGTCAATGTGAGTTTTTTTTTTTTTTTTTAAATTTCTAATTTAAATTTGACATAAAAATTAGGTTTTTATTTCTATGTTCAATTGTTCAGAAAAATCCTTGTTATGAGCACATTTATAACTAACGAATATATTTCCTGTACAAACTATGTTCTTGAATATAATTTTCTATTGGTTTCATATCCTGATTTAAAATTTAGTGAAAAAATATTTAATACAAAACTTTGTTAAACTTCCCGTAACTTAAAAAAATTTACTTTCTTGTTCTAAGGTTTAAGAACCTTTGGGAGTATTTCTTGTTTCTTGGTATTTGATTAGCTTCATTTTCATTTCTCTCGCATGATATTTCCATCATCTCAGCAAACTTTCCCCAATTATGTTCCATTCAATCCTTAGAATTAACCTGTATTTGCTTTGATATATCTAAAGCGGTGAAGTTCTGTCAAGTCGACCAAGTCTTGTCTGTGTTCTTTTTAACAGTTTAAATTTAGGGC